TCCAACTCCTTAACATACTGTGATTCTGTCCTGATAATAGCATCACACATATGTTGCCTTGTACAGTAGGCTTAGGAGCTTCCTCCAGAAGAAGAATGTGAAACATGCTTACTACTTTTAAAAAGCTCTCACCATGGAGAGTTCAGGTTGAACTTATTTATTATTGAAGCTTTAGCTGAAAATCTAAACAAAGTTTTGCATCCCAGTTCTTCAGTCTGTCATTAATATAAATTGCCTTTTCCTGGAGCCACAATTCTGTGTGTAAAAACTTGTAAGAAATATCAAAAGTGACAGTAGTTTGTGATACTTCATATTGACACTAGTTTGTGATACTTGATCCTGTTTTTTGTTACAGCTGTGGTTTGGATTACAGTGAACTGTTATTTAAGTGCTTTTCTGAGCATGGCTGCAGTGGCAGCTCATAGAACACTTGTTTTAGCCTCAATCATACTGAGAAAGATGACAAATGAATGTGTTTTTCATGCCAGAAGTAGTTTAGCATCATTCTAGTCAGCTGTGGTGGAGCTCCTATGAAATTCGGTTTGAAAGCACCTTTACCTCAGAAACAGCTTCGTGAGCCTTGGTGGTTTGGGGTGCCCTGTTCTGAGCCCCAGGTTTTGATTAGCATTCACTGGGGACACACTTAGCTGTAGATGGAGTGGGACCGCCGAGGCCTCAGCACTTGTGCAGTGTCTGAGATTTCCTCCTCTCCTCGCTGCCCAAGCCTTGCCTTTTTCTGACCAACATCACTTGATTACAACCAGGCCCTAGCAGATCAGCCTGAATTTGTCCTTGCCAAGTGGCAGTCCCAGTTGGCATCTTACATTCCGGTGGGACGTGTGATCAGCTGAAGAAAGTCCACTGCATTCTGCGGGGCAAAGAACCTTCCATGAAAGGCTTAACTGCATGTTCCTCTGCATTGTGATGACTATGTATCTCTTCTAGAGTTCATCCGAAAACCTCTCTTTCTGTTTTGCAGAGACAAGAGATAACTGATTCCATTATGTGTGCTTCAGCCAAATATAACACCCGGGGTCCAGCCCTCATCCCAAGGATGAAAACCAAGCATCGCATCTATTACATCACTCTCTTTTCCATAGTTCTGCTTGGCCTCATTGCCACAGGAGTGTTCCAGTTCTGGCCTCACTCCATTGAGTCATCTAGTGAGTGGACCGTTGAAAAGCGCAGTGTCCATGATGTGCCTGTGGTCAAGCTCCCTGCTGACAGCCCCATTCCCGAGCGGGGAGACCTCAGCTGCAGGATGCACACCTGCTTCGATGTCTATAGGTGTGGCTTCAATCCCAAGAACAAAATCAAGGTCTACATCTACTCCCTGAAAAAGTACGTGGATGAGTATGGGACCTCGGTGAGCAACACCATTTCCCGGGAGTACAATGAGCTGCTGACTGCCATCTCTGACAGCGAGTTCTACACCGACGACGTCAACCGCGCCTGCCTCTTCGTGCCTTCCATAGATGTCCTCAACCAGAACGCTCTCCGCATCAAGGAGACAGCTCAGGCTTTGGCACAGCTGTCCAGGTACGTACTGAACCATCAGTGTGCTAATTTAAAGCACACAAAGTGGAAAAAACTAAGGTTAATGCAAGAGGGAGGATGCAGTGACTTACCTGTATGTAGAGAACACCTTTCTAACTGTTGTCTGTTTCTTCTTTTGCTGTAGGTGGGATCGAGGCACAAATCACTTGCTCTTCAATATGCTGCCTGGGGGGCCACCAGATTATAACACTGCTCTGGATGTTCCTAGAGATAGGTATGGGTCTTGCTGTGTTTGGATGCACAGATCTGGGTTTAGGTGCCACTGAAGAAGCAACAAGCACAGGAGGGCAGTTGATAGCAAAGGACATGCTCCTGGACCTTTACAAAGCTGGAATATGACTTCCTTGCTTCTCAAAAACGGGGAATAAAGAAGTCCCTGCCTTATAAAGAGCTCCTGAAATCTGACAGTTTAGCCCCATCCTTAATTTTATGTGATGTGTGGCTGACAGTATTTGCTTTTAACTGTTGGGCTTGCTGCAAGGTTGGAGAATCTCGAGGTTAGGCCTCTGTCTGGTGTGTTACTGAACCTGAATGCTTTACAGAATGCCCCATTTGATTCAAGTTAGAAGTTCAAAGATGATTGTAACTGCAGCTTTCTGATGGAAGTCAGGTGCTTCCAGGGCATTTTAAAGCAGCTGCTCTGCTTGACAGAGCTGTGGTGAATTCAACAGTTTTGTTATCTTAATAGTTACACTGTGTTAGTAATGGGACAAATGCTCGTGGTTGTTCTCTGGCAAGTGGGTTTTGAAAATACCTGCCAGGAACTTATAATGCATAAATTCTGAGCTCAATTTTCACTTGCAGAATAGTTTACTTTTGGAAGAGGAAAGGAGGTTGTAAGTCAAAGAGGAAGACAAACTTATTTAGCTCAGATACTGTTATTGAACATGCTTCTACTGTATTACCCTATGTGTGCTTAGTTCTGCTGAGTTAGGTCCCATGTAACCAGTCTCTTTCTTGAAGGGCAAATGTCAACAAAAGCATGCCTGAGGTATGGGGTCTTTGTTAGGGTGGTTGTGTATGGACTATATCTGGATTTATTTGCAGCAGAGACAACTTAAAACATCCTCCAGTGCCAGAACAGAACATGTTTTAGGACTAAATTCACTCATTGTAATTTATCACTGTCTGTGCAGTAAGGTTGAGTTTTTTGCTTGTCTGTATGAAATGCATTGTATGTGGGTGAGCCTGGAGAGGGCAGTCAAGCATCAGTCTTGTAACACAACCTGTTAAACCACGTTTACACTTGGCCCTGTGTGTGTCGGCTTAGTATGCAGGAAATGTATTGTTTTGGTCGGGGTTTGTCCTAAGTGTTTGCCATGCTGACATGGAAAGCTGAGTAACTGAAGTAAAAAACTAAAATCTTTTTTGGATGTAGCTTCCCAGTCTGACTCACCCTGCAGCTGTATGGTCACGAGCTGGAATACACAAGAAATGACAGTGCTTGGGGAGGCAAAAAGGTGGGAGCTCCTTTTTGTAGGCAGCCAATGCTTAGATTATTCAATGTAGTACAGAAACTGTACTACAGGTCACAGTTGCAAAGACAAGGGATCTGTGAAACAGTCAGGAGTGTGGACCTGGTCCTGGCAGGGCCTGAGTGATGCAGCATGAGGTTTCAGTATGGCTTTGGAGACCTTTGGACCTCTTAGTTCATGTCTAACATAACAAGAAACCTGAGTGCATTTTCTTAGTTTGAGAATGTCTGCAAATGTTACAGAATGAGCAGTTAGCAAAGTATGAAGGACAGTTTGTAGCATCACAGGGTGAGAGGCTGCAGGCCAAAAATAAAGTGCATTGGCAGAGCTCAGTTGGTTTTGAATGATTTGGCTGAACTGTATTGATACAACTCCAGAAGGACTGAATTTGTGGGAGTTTGTGGATCACTTGTGAAATACACAGGTAACATTTGTGAAGACTGCACACTAGTTCTACTAGTTGCCTTCTGCAGTCAGCACATATCAGGGATCATGCATAGCTGAACTGTAGTGGGTCAGGAGGTTTGATATAGTTGTGGTCTGTTCATTTGCTGCAGAATATTAATCCAGGTAAAGTAAGACCTTACAGAGGGGAATTCAGTTGTAGGATAATTTTACATCTGGAGGTACTTCACTAAGGGATAGTTTGTTTATGAAATATTTAAACCCAATCCCCAAAGACAGTGTAAAAACTCTTTGTTCCATCATTTCAAAGGTGGAAGTTTGCCCTGTGGGCACAGAGTCTATTTGCTGGTGTTAGCTACCATGATGTGTGTGATCACCTGCCATAAAATGTAAAAACAAGCTCTCTATTATTTGTTAATTAGTGCTATTGCATTTGGTACACTAATGAGGCTGAAAGGATTTCTTTTGCAGAGCTAATCTGCAGCTGTAGAATCGAATGTAGGAACTAAGATACTTCTTGTTTCTGCTGTGGTTCATGAACTGGGTTTCAGTGACTTGTGAAGTTTAGCAGAAACATTTAGAGTACAGACCAGTTGGGCACTTCGTGGAGAGAAAGAAGGATCAGCATTTGAAGAGTGGTGAAACAGACTCAAGAACAGGTTCATTCCTCACTGGGCAGTGCAGTTTAATGATGGTTTGTCTTGAGTACATTAGGAATTAATATTTCTGCTCCCTCAGTACATTGTAGAATGAAAATCTGAGTGGAATTACTTAACCGGTGTTGGTTCTCTGAGGGTTTAGTTAGGGAAAAGTCTGCAGGACACACAGCTGCTTTCTTAAAGCTGATGAGGTGCTGTCCTGTTTTCACCGGATCCAATTAAACCAATCTGGTTCTGGTTTCCCAGTTGGGGTGTTAAAAAGGAGGAGTGGGATATGAAGTGCAAGAACAGCAACACCCAAGCCAATTTTTTTCTCCCTGCTTGGAACTGAATGAGTATGGTTTAGACAGGGAACATGCAGCTTCAGGGGTGAGACCTAGTCATAGCAGCATGGTACCTGTCACCAAGGAGGGGAGGGAAGGGGCATTGGAAATGAATGGAAAGTAATCACTTGATTTGGAACAGGAATTGTAACTCAGCATGTTGATTTGTCATCCTGTTCTCAAGTTGATTTTTGCTCCTGTCATAGTTTGTGTTCTGAGTGGAGAGTCATGAAGGGTAAGTTGTTTTGATTTGGAAGTTGTCATCAAGCTGAAATGCATCTCTAATCCAGAACATCTAGAGCCTGGGATCCCCAAAGAGTGTTTGCCTTGGCTGCTTGACTGAAGTCACGTTATGGCAAAGCAGTTTGAACACTGAACAACTGTGCTGCAGGTCAGAGAAGGAAGTGAAGTATCCTGTGGGATGTCTGATGGGAGTTAGAACAGGCAGAACATACTGGTGTTTATCCAAGGTGTTTTCTTCTGATGGGAAGAAGTGATGGGTCTTGGGTGATAATTAGATACAGTGATAATCTACTGTATAACAGCTGTGGAAAAACTGCTTCTCCAAACAACACACTAAGGATTTCCTTCAGAGATCTCTGAAAACAATATCAGCTAATGGATTGTTAGTGCCTCTTCCAGTCTCACCGTGAGTTTTTGTTCCTATGTGTCTGTTCTGATGCTGATGAGATGTGTGCCTGCACTGATCTGAACTGTGGCAGTATTCAAGCTGCTAAGGCTTTAGGCTGTAATCATAGCTGTGACAGTGCACACAGCTCCTCAGGATCCTTTCTGTAGTGCCTTCTCTAGTAGTGTGTTTGTGCTCTGCTTCTTTCCACAGAAAAGGAGAGAAATGGGAATTGAGAAATACTTTCTCCAAACTACTTTGTATGGTACCTGAAGCAGATCCAGGGGCAACTCAAAGTCTAGCACACCCTCCTGCTGTGTGACAGGGGACAGAAAGTTTGATCAGCTGTTTGACAAGTCTCACTAAAGAAGCTGAATCTGAGCTTCTTTTGGGACTAGGATGATATGTTCATGGTGCCCCCTGGTCACTGGAGATGAAGTGGGAATTGAAATCTCTCGTCCTCCAACAATATATTTCAGAGCAGCTTGATCTGTGATAGGAGAGTGTAACAAACCTGTTTTTCTGGCATTGTAAGTGATACATCACCTTCTCCTGTACAGGTTGTTCTCTTCTGTTTCTCAGAGCATTTCTGGGTGGCAAAAGATTGTCCCACTAGGAGAAGGCACAATAAGGGAACATCCTGTTGGAAGGTTGAATTGCATCTGAATTTATCAGTACTTGGTGATTTCCCATGCTCTCTAGCACATTCCAAGCAGCCTCTACTGTTGGAATTTGGTTTCAGAACATACAGATTACTCATTCTCATGTTTTCCACTTGTGGAATTTTTCCTGTAATACAAAAATGAAATCAATTTCACTCTCTTCTGTGATAATTTTGGAAATTCAGTTGCAAATAACTCCATTTTATTTTCCATCCTGAGAAGTTCAGAGTCACTGTAAGAAGCCAAAATACTGTGTTGTTGTGCTGTGATTTGTGTCTGAAATGTTGCTTGTCTCTAACGTTCTGAAAGTTGTGCTATGCCCTGTGTTATTGCAGACATCAAGGAATATCTCAACCAGTGTAAGTAACTCAGAATATGTTTCTTCAGGTTAAAATTGGCTTAGGGCATGTAAGCAAAATTATCACGATGACAGCAACGTATTAAATGCAAAAATGGTCCATTCCTCGGGATTCATACACAATGCATTGCACACAATGTAAGCATTCTCTTGGTGACTATCACAGGATCGTAGAATCATAGAATTTAGGAGGTGAAATGGACCTTACAGATCATCTAGTCCCACCCCCTGCCCTGGGCAGGGACCCCTCCTCACTAGATCAGGTTGCTCAAGGCTCATCCAGCCTGGCCTTGAACACTGCCGGGGTTGGGGCAGCCACAGCCTCCCTGGGCAACCTGGGACAGTGTCTCACCACCCTTAGAGTGAAACCCCTTTTCCTCACATCCAGCCTAGCCTTCCCCTCCTTCACTTTGACCCCATTCCCCCTTGTCCTGTCACTGCAGTTCCTAACACAGAATCCCTCTCTGGCTCCTTGTAGCCCCTTCAGAGATTGAAAAGTTGCTCTGAGGTCTCCACACAGTCTTCTCTTCTCCAGGCTGAACAGCCCCAACTCCCTCAGCCTGTCCTCATAGGGGAGATGCTCCAGTCCTCTTAGCAACTTTGTGGCCTCCTCTGGATTTGTTGTAACAGTTCTATGTCCTTCTTGTGCTGAGGACACCAGAACTGTGTGCAGTATTCCAGGTGGGTCTCACCAGAGCAGAGTAGATGAGGAGAATCACCTCTTTTGCCCTGCTGCCCACACTCCTGTGGATGCAGCCCAGGATTCCATTGGCTTTCTGGGCTGAGCTCACACTGCACATGGTGAGCTTCTTATCCAAAGAAGATCCAATCTAGCAGTAATCCCGTTTGATTACAGCTAAAGTGAACCAAAATGCTGCATGGAAAAATGCCACTGACAAAAGCTGAGGGAGAAATTTCCCTCCGAACGTGCACGTTTTTCTGGTAATGACAGGCAGTAAATAGTCAAAGCTTGAATGTTGTACATTCTCTGTTTAAAGTTGCCTTCTTGTGTTTTCCAGAGCTCTGTTGGCTGGTGGAGGCTTTTCCACGTGGACGTACCGTCAGGGCTACGATGTCAGCATTCCTGTTTACAGCCCCTTGTCGGGAGAAGTAGATCTGCCAGAGAGAGGACCTGGGTAAAGTACTTCCAGTGGCTCAGGCAGTGTATTCAATGTTGTGGTTAGTATTGATGCTGATAAAATAGCACTGTAGCTACTAACCTTGTGGTGAGCTTGGGCAATTTTGTAAGGGTTGTGCTAAACAGCTCTTGCTGTTAAAATACAGGATGCTTCCCGTGCTGATGGTTCCACTGCTAATGGTCTTGGCTCATCAATCAATGTGTAGTTTAGCTATGAGCTGAGGATTTTTTTAGAGTGATTCTATTCTCCCACACCAGAAGCTGAACTGTAAAATAAGACAGCATCACAGTGTTTCTAGTAGAATCAGATTCAGTATTTCCAGTGAGCTGCTGAGGTACTTGAGATATAAATAAAAGGAGTTGTTACTTGGTTTGGTTTCTTTGAAGTGTAAGTAAAGCAGGGCAGTAATTCAAAGCAGTATAGATTCCCTAATAAATTGTCACTTCAGACAGCTTTAAGGACAGTTAAAAACAAAGTTAGGACAATGGTAAATGTGTGTTCTACCTGCACTGTGACTCTGAAGAGGTAGAAGGGATCGTGGGGATCAATGTAAGTGAGTCAATGCAAACTTGGAGTGAGTAACAGCGAGTGGGAGTGAAGATGTGATCTTCACCTCTGTATATCTTACAGATACATTCTTTGTGTATCAGTTTAGATGTTTTTGGGGTTTTGAAGTTCTTGCAATGTGACATTGGAACAGGAGAAGCTGTTAGATACATTTCTGAAGGGAAGAAAGTCTTGCAGAATGGATCTTACGATCATACAGTGTCCTGAGTTGGAAGGAACCCACAAGGATCATGGAAGTTCAAGTCCTGGACCTGCACAGGACAACCCTAAGAATCACACAATGTGCCTGAGATTGTGGTCCAAATGCTTCTTAAACTCTGTCAGGCTGGGTGCTGTGACCACTTCCTAGGGGAGGTTGTTCCAGTCCCCAAGCACCCTCTGGGTGAAGAGCCTTTTCCTAGTATCCAGCCAGACAGAGTTTCATGCCATTCCCTTGGGTCCTGTCACTGGTCACTAGAGAGAAGACAGTGTAGAGGAATCTGCTTGCATCCTAGTTGATTCTTTATAGATCTTAAGTGCTCCTGCATTCCTGTGCAGAGTGAGAGCATGGATGTGCTGGCAGGCATTGGCATGTATAGAACCAGTTGTAAAGAGAGATGCAGTCATATGGTTCATGTCCGTGTAGTCAGCTAAACCCTGTGTCTGGGTTTTGGGGTAAGAGAAATGGGTCTGTGTTCAGTGAAGGTTTTGGACCTTTTTCTTGGCCAGAATTGGGGGTTGTGGTGCAGAGTGGCCCTGTGTGCGCAGCGCCGCCTGGTGGCCACGTGGCGTTACTACTGAGACGCGTTCTGGGGTTCGTCCTGTGCGCTGAGTGACAGGGGCAGCACCGCGCAGCGTTCAGAGGAGCATCACAGAGTCATGGAACCAGCCGCGTTGGAAAAGACCTCCGAGAACATCGAGTCCAACCCTACCGTGG